CACGTAGGCGAGTCCAGCAGTGTCAGCTGTGGCAAAGACCAAGTCGTCGACGTACACGAGGATGTAGAACGGCGACAGAGAGGTGTCGGTGCGCAGAAACAGCGACGGGTCCGCAGTAGAAGGAGCAAACACAAGAGCCGCAAGTGTAGTCCTCATTGTGTCGTGCCACTCACGTGGCGCCTGGCGGAGACCGTAGACTGGACGCCGGAGACTCCACTGGGTACCAGGAGGGAAAGACCCAGTGAAGCCTGGTGGGCGGCGCAGCCAGATCTCCTCGTGCAGGCTGCCCTGTAAGAAAGCAGTGCTGAAGTCGAGAGAGTGTAGCTCGTAGTCACGGTGAGCAGCAACGTGCAGCAATACCCGAAGAGTGGTCATCTTCGGGGTGGGGGAGAAGGTCTGAAAGTAGTCAACTCCCTGCCGCTGACTGAAGCCAGGAGCCACGTAACGCGCCTTGAAGACAGGCGGAGAACCCGGCGGCCGCTTCACCCTGAAGATCCACATGCCACTGACGATGTTCGCCCCACGAGGGGGGACAGCATCAACGTAGGTGCCTGTGGACTTCCAGGAAGCCATCTCTGCATCCATAGCTGCCTGCCACTGAGAGGAGTAGGGATTCTCTATCGCCTCCGCGTAAGAGCGCGGAGTCGGGATGTCAAGTGCATCCGGGTCTCCCTCAGGGGTAAGCAGTACGGACACGAGATGAGGTGAAGCAGCTGCCAGACACTGGAACTCCCCTCCTCTGTCCAAGTGCAGGCGCAGAACAGGGAAGTCCGAGCCAAAACTCTGCCTGAGCTAGAGACGAGCTGCGCGGATCCAGTCAATCAGCACCTCAGTGACATCACCCTTGCTGCGCAAGGGGAAGACTGTGGTGTAACGCGAGTAGTCGTCAACAACGAGCAGGAAGTAGCGCTCGTGGCCGTGTCCACGGACGCGGGCTGGGCCCCACACGTCCATGTGAAGCATCTGCAACGGGGCCTCTGTCGGAGGAAACTGGGAGGAGTGAGGGGCAGCACGCTGGCGCCCCTCGACATAGGGGACACAGGCAGGGCCAGGGCCCTGAGGAAGGGGAGGGAGGGACCGGGGCAGACTAGACACAAGAAGACGGGAGGCCATGCCTCTGAGCCGAAGCAGAGAGGGGTGACCAAGGCGGTGGTGGCAGAGGAGAGTCTCGTGAGATAGGAGACGACACGAACAGGGGGCAGACTCAGGACCAGACCTGGACGCTGCAGCAAACACCTGACCCGACGCAGCTACCCTACCAGACTCAGCAACGGGAGGAGACGCAGTGGTCAGTGTGTACAGGCTCGACCCTGGCTGACGGGTAAACGTAGCCAGGTGTCGGCCTGAGCTAGCCTCGGTGCAGTGCGTCACCCGCTGGCGCGCAGGAGTGAACTAGTGGACACCCGCATCCTGTAGGTCAGCACCACTCACCAGGTTCGTAGAGAACGAGGGGAGGTAGAGACCAGACAGGGTGCCAAAGGGAGCCGCCGGACACGGGAGGACTATGGAGAAGCGAGACAGGACAGGGCCCCTAGAGGGGTCAGCCAGGGACACTGCAACCGGCCGACTAAGCGGCGTGAGTGTGGTGCGGTCCTGAAAGAAGGAGCGAGAAGCCCCCGAGTCAAGGGTGAAGGTGAGGGATGCCGAAGCCGACGTAGTACCTGAGAGCGCAGACTCACCAGTACCTGAGGGCGCAGACGCACTGGCACCTAGAGCAGCAGCCTCACCAGCACCTAGAGCAGCAGTACCAATGCCCGGGTCGGGCGGGAAACACAGGTAACAGTCACCCTCATCACTAATAGTCACAGCATACATTGCAGCAAGGATAGCATCAACGTCAAGATCATAGATAGCTACGCCTGCCCTAGACAGCTCTCCCCAGCGGGGGATCTCACTGGCCTCCGGGAACTGCTGACGCCAAGCGTCCGTCAGGCGGCCAAAGCAGCGCTGGGTGGGGTGGGCACCCCCACACTGCTCACCCGCGCGGTCGCCGGTGCGAAGGACGTAGGTGCAGGGACCAAAGCCCCCACCACGCTGACGCTGCGTGTACCACTCACGGAGCTGCTGAGGGGGGGGATGTCCCGAGAACGCTGCTGCTGTTGCTGCTGCTGCTGGCGCTGACCCAGTACCAGTGCTGCTCCGCTGCAAAGCGCCACCCCGACCACCTCCACCTCCTCCTCCACCGCCTCCTCCACCTCCGCCACTACCGCTGCCTCCGCTAGGACCGCCGCCACCTCCGCCGCCTCCGCCTCCACTGCTGCCACCGACACCTCCACCCCCTCCACCACTCCCACCGCCACTCCCACTCCCCCCGCCACCTCCACCGCCACCTCCACCGCCCCCGCTAGCTCCACCCGCGCCCTTGCCCCCCTTGCCCTTGCCAGAGCGGCGTCTCCCGCTAGGGGCAGACGCAGCACCGACCGACTCAAGACCAACGAGGTCGGCCGCAGCGGAAGAGGCGTCAGAGGGCAAAAGGGGGGAAGGAGAACACCCCTCAAAGATGGGGGTGCGAGGGTCACCACGAGAGGCTCCTACAGCGACGATGCTCTTCTCCGCTGCTAGGAGGGCCTTCTCTAAGAGGTCAACAGTGAGAGTGGTGGGACAGACCGCGAGGAAGTGGTCCCTGACTACACGAAGGGAATCAGGGAGGCGGGTGACTATAAAATAGAGATTGATGTACATGGGGTGGGGGGGGGTTCATGGCGCAGAACTCAGCAGGAAGCGCGGCGCGGTAGCGAGTGTCACTAGTGCGGAGGTGCGTAATGAGGTCAGCGACTGTGGGAAAGGCAGTAAGGTTAGGGAAGAGGAAGGGTAGCATGAGGCGGCTCAGTGCAGCAGTGGCAGGGGAAGAGTAGCGCGCAACTACAGCGTCGTACAAGGTCTGAGCACTCTTGTACTGACTAAAGTGCGCGCGCTCAGCGGTAGGCAGGTGGCAACGCACAGCAAGACGTGCAGCAGCATCGCGCGTGGCCCACTGGGAGCGAACAGTGGGGTCAGCATCAGCAGTAGGGGCAGGAGAGGCGCCCGAGGTGAGGTCAAAGAGAGAGAGACCGTCTGCCATATCGCACTGTAAGTACAGCTGCAGGTCGTCGACCCAGACCTCAAAGTCAATGGCGCGACCCTCAGCGTCAAAAGCGAGGACACTAGGGGTGGCCATGACGACAGAGACTAGCAGGACCAACTGTAGGACAGGGGCAGTGCAGTGACAGAAGCGCTGTTCTCACCAGACAGGGCGGTTCGGGCTGTTGAGGAGCACATAAAAAAACGGCAACACTGCTGCTCGGACGGCCCAGCAGCAACTGCGGCTCGGCGGTACCAGCGGCCCGGCTCCTCAGGCGGCTCGAGCGGCTCGGGCGGCTCGGCTCCTCAACGGGTCGGGCGGCTCGGGCGGCTTGGCTGGGTCGGGCGGCTCAGGCTGCTCGGGCGGCTCAGGCTGCTCAGCGGCTCGGCTCCTCAGCGGCTCAGGCGGCTCGGCTCCTCAGGCGGCTCGGGCGGCTCGGCTCCTCAGCGGCGCAGGCGGCTGGGGCGGCTCGGGCGGAGCGGGCGGTGAGGGGCGGCGGCGCCGCAAGGTAGGTGGCGGAGCCGCAGTAGGAGAGGCGGCAGGTCCGCAGAGAAGGGCGGCGGGGCCGCAGCGAGAGAGGTGGCGGGGCCGCGACGAACGGCGGCGGGGCCGCAGTGGGAGAGGCGGCGGGGCCGCAGTGAAGGGCGGCGGAGCCGCTGAGAAGGGCGGCGGGGCTGCTGCGAGAGAGGCGGCGGGGCCGCGACGAAGGGCGGTGGGGCCTCAGAGTGAGGCAGCAAGGCCGCAGTGAAGGGCGGCGGGGCCGCTGAGAAGGGCGGCGGGGCCGCAGTGATAGAGGCGGCGGGGCCGAATCGACGGGCGGCGGGGCCGTCAGGGCGGCGGGGCCTAATCGACGGGCGGCGGGCCGAATCGACGGGCGGCGAGGCCGTCAGGGCGGCGGGGCCTAAGCGACGAGCGGCGGGGCCACTAGGGCGATGGGGCCGCTAGGGCGTAGGGGCCGCTAGGGCGGCTCGACGAAGTGAGGGCCCGGAGCGCGACTCAGGCTGAGCGCGCTTTGGGCAGAAAAAAAAACAAGCTCGATGTGGTGGGCCCTAGGCACAGTTCCCAGGGGGAACCTGCTCTATACCATGTGAAAAGTAGAACGAGAATGAATTGACTATGGAATGGAAGTGATACAAATATGCAACCCTAGAAATGTGTACCCCATATGAGCTACCCCACTATAGCCTACACAAGCTTATAATTTGACAGAGTTGTGACGAGGTATACTATAGTTGGTTGTAAGGAATTTTCTCGGCATTCCTTACGGAGCCCGACTACATCGCGTACAGCAACAGCCGTTGTTCGCCCGTTACTGCTAACGGCGCTTCGCCGGCTTCGCGCGCACTGTTTCACCAAACCTCCCACTGCTGGTCGGCCGTGTCAGCCTACGCTTCAGGACTAGCCCGAGCCTCGTTTCCAGCGTAGCACTAGCTAGCTCGCACGCACCGTGTTGCCGATTGCATGTTTCGCGTATAAATGTTCGCTCATGCCTTCGCTCACATTTTTTAACTCGTTTTGACACCTTAGTGCAATTCTCGCTACTTCGATTCATTGCACCCGTAACACTTGGTATTCAGAGCCTCTTTCCTTTCGGACCGCGCATCTCCGCACCCCAGGAAATCAACTTTTGATTTTTCACTCGAAGGGACTCACGTACCTTAGCACCTAGGAGACGTTGTCCTCGCGTTCTCTCGTAAACGCGTGCAGCCACGACTGCGCCTAGACTAAGACGAGCTGACGCCCTTCGAAATGGCTGAACATATCGACGTCACGGTTCCCACCCTTCCACCTGGCGCCAGACGTCTGGGTCATTTGCGATATCTGTGGCGATCTTGCCTTGCTGGCCGTCTCACTGGGCTGGGCGCCACGTGACTCACCCTCACTGGCGTCTGCACGGTTTCCCTCCACCCTCGTCCCTCGGTTCGTCCCTCCAGATGGGATGCCTTGCTCATCCTCTAGTGACACGTCTTCCGAATCCCCCTACTCCTCCTCCATATATTCCTCATCTTCATCATCTTCGCAGTCATTCACTGGTCCACCTCCCTGCTGTCGCTCAGGCCTCCCGTGCCTTTCCCGCCATGGCCCAGATCTGGCTTTCTCTCTGGCCACAGCCGCTGCCAGGCCTCCTCGCACTGTCCTTCCGCGCGCACCTTGTCCGCTGAGTCCCCTCCCCGCCACCGGCGCTTGTCCCCGAGTTCTTGCTGGCGGGTTTCCCGCCGCTGCCTCCGCTGCGCGTTCTCGCAGTAGCCTCTGCCGCGCTGTTCCCTCTCGGCGCCTGTCAATCACGGTCACCTGCTCCTCTTCTACGACGGCCGCCCCGTCTTCCGCTTCGGCCTCCGCCCGTTCCGCTCTTTCGTGGGGCCGATCCGCCTCGTTCCCCGTACCTGATGACGGGTAGGCGCCGGCCGCCTCGGCGTGAAGTAATCGTGGCGGCGGGATCTCCTGCTGTGTCCACCCTACCAGCGGCCTAGGGTGGGTAGGTGCCAGCCCTGTTCCGAGCCGTCACGGACTGCCTGACTGCGGGTGTTGGCGACGCGTCTTCTGCGCTGCCGAGCACGCCTGCTCGACCAAGGGACCCTGTGTAACGCTCCCCGCGTGGGCGCACTCATCCGTTTCTCCGTGCGCGCGGCCATTCTTTCCGTCGCCGTCGTCCCCCTCGTCCGCCACTGACTGGCCAGGCTCGTCCTCGACCTCAGCTCCAATCGCCTGCCGCACGGTCCCAGCCGTTGCAGCTCCCTCCGGCTCGGTCCCAGTCTGCATCGTCTCGCTCGGAGACAGCGGCTGCGCCAGCGCAGTCTGCGCCGCCAACCCCTCCGCCGCGGCCTCCCCCTCCAGCGCCGGAGTCGGCATTGCCTTCGCCGACTTGTCCTCCTACCCCTGTCCCTTCGCCCCCTCAGCCCGATTCCGCACCTCCGGTTGGCGTGCAGGCGCATCCCCCGACGTCGGCCCCAGGGCCAGGCGCGGCGCCGCCACCCCCTCAACCGTTTGCTCCGCCTCACGCGCCGCTCGCGGCGGGGCCGACTCCTGTTGCGCCGTTTGCGTATTCGTACCCACCTCGGTTGGATGTGGCCGGGTCTGCTCCTCCTGGCCCTCGTGGGCTTCCCTTCCCTGTTCCCGCTCCCCATGGGCCTCAGCGCCAGCACCCCCTTGTGCCGGGGTCTCGCCTCCCTGCGGCTCGATTCGGATTTGTGAGTTCCCCGCATTCCCACCTCCTCCCTGCACTTTGCATGATGTTCTCCCCTGCCCCTCAATCATCAGCTGTGTCTTGCGATTCCCCCGTCCCCCGCCATCCTGCGCCCCCTGCATTCCCGCACCACCAGCCAGTGCCTGGCATCTCCCATGGCTGCTGGAGCGAAGACGAGGTGCCTGGCACCGCTCATGACCCTGAGGTGGATTGGGATGGTGTCTCCCCCCCCGAGCCCTCCTTGGGGTGAGCCGCGGCCTGGAGACGGGGCTTACCAGTCCCGTGGGATGCACCTGGCGGAGATTGGCCGCTGCGTGACAGAGCTCTCGTTCGTGCTTGACCTCTTGCATGACGCCCTTCAGTCGCGGGAGGTGGTGGCCCAGGATCCGCAGATGAATGAAGACCAGCAGGGGCGGGTGCCGCGTGCAGTGTCGAGTGCGCTGTGGGATGTCCTGCATCTGCCGCTTGAGCCCGCGGACCCGTTGCTAGACGATGGACCTGGTGCTGCAGCTTTCCGCACAGTAGCCAAGGCTGCTGAGGGGTGCCCGCATGGGATCGTCCCTGCGATCGCGTATGTGCTTCGGTGGCTTGGGCGGCGGGTGAAGAGGATGTAGGTGTTGCCTTGGCTGCTGCTTTGGTGGTCGCCTTCTTTTTCCCCATGGCTTGGGGACTTACCTTAGTGCCACCCAGTCAGTACTATACTTGCATGCTTGTACTGCCCCTTGTATTACTCCTCCTTTCCTATGTTGTCCTTGCCACCCCAAACGCGCGGCCGAATGCCGCGCTGTCAAGCGTCGGCCGCCGAAGGCAGCCGGCGCGAGCCGCTGGGCTGGGTGGATCCACACTCACCAGAGTATAATGAAAGAACTGGGCCGACTATAAAGGAGCTCGTACTACATATAGGCCTACTGCAGGGGCTACACTAAGGACACAAGCCATAGGAGGCCTTATGGCAATGCTATCTAATGCTATACTAGGCTAGAGAACCAGGAGGGGCTAAGGACTGGGCCTAGTGCCCGTCTCTCTCTCTCTCTCTCTCTCTCTCTCTCTCTCTCTCTCTCTCTCTCTCTCTCTCTCTCTCTCTCTCTCTCTCTCTCTCTCTCGCTCTCTCGAACGAGCCGCTGGGTTGGGTGGATCCACACTCACCAGAGGTGAGAAACTGGCGGATTTTTTTCTCTCTCTCAGTGGTGGATCCCCCCTGTCAGTGGTGTGCTTTTCTCTCTCTCTCTCTCTCTCTCTCTCTCTCTCTCTCTCTCTCTCTCTCTCTCTCTCCCTCTCCCTCTCCCTCTCTCTCTCTCCCTCCATTTCTCTCTTTCTCTCTCTCTCTCTCTCTCTCTCTCTCTCTCTCTCTCTCTCTCTCTCTCTCTCTCTCTCTCTCTCCCTCCATCTCTCTCTTTCTCTCTCTCTCTCTCTCTCTCTCTCTCTCTCTCTCTCTCTCTCTCTCTCTCTCTCTCTCACTCTCTCTCTCTTTCTTTCTCTCTCTTATCTTCTGCCTTTTTGTATGTGTCATCCCATGGCAATGTTTTTTGCCCTTTGGTTCTTCATATTAGTGTCGGATATTAAGTTTCTCGAAGCTTCGATTGCCTCCCTCAAAAAGCCTCCTTGAGGCGTGGGGTGAGAAAACTGAAGAGCAACCAAGAGATCCTTGAATAAGGCTTCTCTTGACTCTCACAACGGAAGGCACAACAAAAATTTATAATTAGAAAGAGCAACTCCATAGAGCTTATCAATAACTTCTAGGCAAGCGCCCTTAGACCCTCAATGGTCTATTCCCTTTAAACACCTTTTCACAGCAAAACTAAACGGGAAAAGATCAACTTCATGATGCTCTAGAGAGCTTCTAGGCAAACGCCTTAGACCCCAAATGGTCTTTCCCCTAAGGGCTAGCCAACCGGCAATAAGAAACAGCCCAAGGGTACGGCCAATAGCCTTCGTGCGGTTATGTGCCGCGTCGAGTTTACACCGCCGGCGCGGGTCCGTGAGGACCGTGCCCACCACCAGGGCATGCATTGGCAGTGTGGCCCGACTGGCCGCAGCGGAAACAGGTGCCGCGGAAGCCCCTAGCATCGCAGCCAGGGGCCGTGCCAAGTTTGCCGCCAAACCTCGTGGGGCCTCGTCCTCCAAGGGAAGAACCGCGACCATAGGAGCCTTGGGCACGGTTCATCGCTGCCACATCCGCGAGTGCCTGCTTGAAGGGGCGCGAAGTCAGCACACTTTTCTGCTGGTACAGCTTGAAGCGGTGCGCCGTCTTGAAGTCGGAGGCATCGGCGACTTGAAGGAGTTGGAAGCGATCGGCGATGAGCGCGTACACCTCTTTGAAGTGCTCGAGAGCGCCAGCGGTGTCGCCGTGGCGTATCTTGTGCTCCGAGTGCTTCAGGTACGCGCGCAGGTCCTCCAGAAATTCCGCTTGCTCGCGTACTCCGGCGTGGTGAAATGAGGAGGCGGGAATGGTGGGATTGGTGGAGGGGAGTGGAGGAAGGTGCTCAACGGGTGCAAGAAAGAAGTTGTGTGCATGAGCCTCACCCGCATCATCTTCTGAGTCGCTGCCGTCATTGTCGTTGTTGGGCACCGCAGCAGCAGCATTTTCCCTTTCGACGCGAGGGACTTCGGGTGCGCGTGCGTGATGCGCCAAATCGTTTCTTGCATTTGCGTCTTTAGCAGATGCAGAAATTGTTGTCGTTGTAGCCGTAACTGCCGGCGACTTCTGTTGTAACAGCGCCAAAAGCGCTTGGACCTGGTCGTTGGTCAATGTCAGAGTCAATGCAGGGTCAGCCGTCGCGTCAGACGAAGACCCAAGTCGACGCCTCCGGCGCTGACGCGACGGTCCGGCCACAGGTGCTGTATCTCTCAACGGAACCGGGGGTGACGCTCCGTTTTGCCAGGGGTGACGCTCGGGGGTGGCGCTTTCGGGAGCGTCACCCTGACCCGGGAAGGAAAAACTAAAACCCCATCGGGATGGCATGCGCCGTTCGGGAGCCTAAACCCTAAAATTTAAGGGTTGAGGCTCCCGAACGGCATGCCATCCGTCTGGGGGTTTTTTTTTTTGCCCCGGGCAGCTTGTCGTTTTGTGCTAGCGACTTTGTCGCTAGCGCGCCTGCTACGTCCCGTTGAGATATACTAGGCTGCGCAGTGGCGAAGTCAACAAAAAAGCCAACCAGCAGCACCCCTCGACACCTGTGGCGCCAGTTGCGCCTGTGGCGCAAGTGGCGACGGAGGCACCTGCAGCACCTGTGGCGCCACACGCTCCTGACGCTGTGCACGCGCCAGCCTAGTATATCTCAACGGGACGTAGCAGGCGCGCTAGCGACAAAGTCGCTAGCACAAAACGACAAGCTGCCCGGGGCAAAAAAAAATAAACCCCAGACGGCGCATGCCATCCCGATGGGGTTTTAGTTTTTCCTGCCCGGGTCAGGGTTGTTGGGAACAATAAGTCTTAAGCGCCTCTGTCGTGTCGAAACTCAGGACACTAGCGAAGCAGTCCGAATCGAAGCATCGCGAGTCAACCCTCGGAGGTTAGAGTAACCGCCTGGAGGTTACAGGAAAGTCAAAGGTCAGCGACCTTTGACTCGACAATTACAGCGCGACAGCAAGGACACACAACTGACTCGACATTGAGCAGTTGCCCGAGTCGCACTGTATCGAATCGCAACAGTAAAACGGTTTGAATTTATCTATTCGTATTCCTTGTACTCTTATATAAACCTTTGTATTTGCCTGTTTAATCAACTTACTTTGCCCTCACACACTAGCGCAAGGTGGTTCAATCACTCTTTATTTCAACGCTTCCGCTATTACAATCCTACTCAGACCTTAAGCTCTACAAAGATCCTAGGGCTTCTCAGCCCAACATGGTATGAGAGCACTTAGAGTTTAAAGGTTACTTTTCTCTCAACACTCAATACAAAGAAATTAGACGTGTCTACAAGGAAGGAGAGGAGCTCCTCCAACGGCTCTCCAGGCACTACTCCTACTCCACCTCCTGCCTCCGGCCTACAGACAGAGGAGGGAACAACCACAAGACCAGCAGCTGGGTCCACGGAAACACCCGCAGGCTTCGATCCAAACATGATGGAGAAATTTTTCTCCTTCATGTCCTTCTACGAGCAACACCAGCAAGGAGTGCCTGCGCAGTCAAACAACAGCAACAACAACAACGTTACTCCGATGAGCCTCGACGGCTCATCCTACGCACGCGGGATTCAACAACAACAACAGCAGCCTACCTTTGCGCCGTACGAGCCCCAATGTGGCTCCGTCAGCTTCATGCCGCAACCGCAACCTGCATCGGGACAAGAAAGGACATTGGATGCGTTACAAGTCCAATCGCAATTCGCGCATGTCCTAAAACTACAAACGACAAAGCCCTTCGACGGCAAAGATTTCTTCACCTGGTCGTTCGAGTTTGAACTGATGATGGAAGGAGCACAGATTCTCGGCTTCTTCGACGGGTCCCTGCCATATCCAACAAACGGGACGCAATATGAGAAGCAGCAATACACATATCAATCGATGATGGCGTACACGATTCTACTGAGGAACATTACCTCGACCCAGCAGCAGAACATCAGGACTTACCGAGGCTACGGCAACTCCGCGGAGCTCGCGTACAACCACCTGAAGAACCTGTATCAAGCAACAGACAGCGTAAACCAAAGCAGGTTAATGGCGCAGTTGACAGCGATTGAAATGAAACCAGGCGAGAAAGGCATGGCTTATATCAGCCGCTGCCGCGAACTGCGCGACAAGCTTCTTCGATGCGGCGGGTCAATTTCAGAAGACGCCTTTGTCACGGTGGTCATCGGCGGTCTCGGCCCCCACTGGCGCTCCACTCGCGCCATATTACGAGCACACGGGAGGATCTCCGAAGCGGCACTCTGCGCCGAAATTCATGCTGAGCAGCAGGACATGGACCTGCAAGAAGAAAGACACAAGAAGAAAGCATCAGCACCAGAATTTGCTTTTCACACTCAGTGACGACACAACGGCAACAACAATTGACAACAAGTGAAAACGGTACCTCCGTTCTGTCAGAATAATATATAACTCTATATATTGTTTTGTAACTGCCTGTAGTGTAGAATACTGTAGTCATAGAAGTTTCTGTTTGGTGGTGCACCTTTCTTTTTTCTTGCCTATTTGTACTGCTCGCTCTATAGTGAACCCTCTCTTTTGTCTTGACAAAAATCTCTCGACACTCCACCTCCTACCCAAACCCTAGGCCACTATGGCTCCTAACTTAATCTCTCACTAGTTTTCACATGGTACAGAGCATGCTTCGATCCTAGCCCGTGGTTTCTTTTTCGTAATGGCACCCTCGGTTGCGGCCTGCGTCGTCCCGCTCGTTCACCCTTCCCGTCGCGCGCTTGTTGTTGTAAAAGTCGCGACATTCGCGACGAAGGGCGCGGCTGTCGTGGCGACGAGCTGGGCGGCCGTCGTGCTGGCTCCGCCCGTCGTTTGCGGCCACGCTGCCCCGTCGCCGTTTCGTCGCACCTTCGCTCCGGCCCCCTGTCCCGCCCGTCGCGCCCATTCCACTGTCCCCGCCCTCCCTCCCACCGGCCCCGCTACAGCTGTCGCGAACGCTCCTGCTGTGAGGGAATGTCGCGAGGGTGGCGAG